TGAGAGAGGTCGAGATTAGAGTGGAAGTGAAAAAGGTACCAGAGAGCTGGAGTTAATGAGGGAACAGATTACACCAGCCACTGCAAGGACTTCCGCTTTGCTCTGGGAGAGATAAGAAGGATTTTAAGTAGACAGGTTAAGTTTTAAGAAGATTACTCTTGCTGCCATGTTGAGAATAGATGGAAAGAGGACCAGGGTGAATGCAGGAAGGCCTGCAGTAATAAGGTCCATGCAATAATTCATGCAAAACAGACGGTGGCTTGGGCTAGCAGAGATGGCGAGAAGTGAGCTGAGCATACACCAAGTTTTGAATGCTGTAGTGAGCCCACACAAATACCTTATAATGAAATTTAATAATTTCTAACATTTTGCTCCATTTGTTTTATTTCTGCATTTTTTCTGAAGCATTTCAAAGTAAATCACACAAATCATTATATTTTACCCCAAAACACTAAGTATGTTTCTCTAATAAGTATATTTTTATTATACTGTCACAGTTAAACAAAACTAAAAATAAATCCTTGATATTATTTAATGCTAGATACATTTTCAAATCATCCTCTGATTTTTGTCTTTAGTTTGAATCAGGATCCAAATTAAAGACTCACACATTATTTTTGATTATTGTGTCTCTTAATCTCCTGCAATCTGGAAGAAACTTTTTCTTCCTTTCTTCCCCGTTATGCCATAGATTCATTGAGGCAACCAGGCGAGCTATCCTGTGGGAGGGCCATGTATCTCAGACTGTCCGATTGCTCTCTCTTGGTGTCATTTTCTTCCTTCCTCTTTTCTTGTAAATGAGAAATAAGATCTAAAGGTTTGAATACTCACAAGCAACATTTCTGGCAAGAACTTTCTAAGCATTGCTGCTTAAATCAAAATATCTCACATCAGGAGGTTTATAATATCTAGTTGTCACATTTTTGATGATGTTAAAATCGATCAGTTTTAAGGAGTGACACCATGATCCTTCATTGGAAAGTTGTTTTTTCCTTGTTACAACCAGCAAATAATCTATAGGGTGGTAGTTTGGCATCTTGTAAATATCCAATTTCCTCTCAACTGTCCTCCTAATCATTTAAGGATACATTTATTATGGTTACCTGAGCCAATTATTTCATTAGGAATGCAAAATTAATTTCTAATTTTATTATCCCTCCACATTTATTAAACAGAGTTATCTTCTAGTGAAGGGCTTTTTCTTCCTTACCTGGGACTATTTTTTTTCTTTTCAATTCATTTCCTGCTCATTTATCATTTCAAAAGAGAAATCCAGGAAAGGAAATCCTTAATTTTCTCCCTTTAACTACAAATTTTTAGAACAAGGAAATGGTAGTCTAGCTATAACCAGCACTTAAAAATGAGTAATTTTTTATTTATCCTTCATTGAATAATACTACAACTTATGGATTTTATATTTTCAATCTATTTCGACCAATTTCATATTTAACTCATTATAAAGTCTAAATTGTTCCCTTTTTGGCAGGTAGGGACCTCATCAAGATGATCTCTTGTTCTTTCCATACCATTAGCCTTGATAGCCTCCCCATGTTGATGTCCCAAATTTCTTTTGTTCCCTAATCACACTGAAGAGTTACTAACTCTCCAAGTTTCCCAGTTTATTTTAGCGAAAAGTATATATATATTTTGAATACGGAGCCCATAGGATTTCTTCAGAGATTTCAGATGTGCTCTGTGAGAAAAATAGAGTCTAGTATGACTCCAAGGGTTTCTGCCTGAGCAACAGAAACAGTGACATTGCCATCAACTCAGAGGCAGGAAGCACAATTGAAAGGAGGGAGGTATCGGAGTTCAGATTTGGACATATTAATTTTGAAATTTTAATGACATTTCTAAATAAAGATATATAGCAGGCAATTGGATATGCAAGACTGGAGCTTGAGAGATAACAATTAAGTAGTCATTAGAGATGAAAATTAAAACCATGAGGCTGAGTGGGCTCACCAAGGGAATGGATTTGGGTAGAAAAAAAGAGAACCAAGGATTGAGTCCCAAAGTTAGAGGATCTAAGGGAAGAAGAGAAGCAAGCACATTTGCACATTTAATTACATTCTTGAGAAATAAGTTAAGAAAATCTTTACTGTGTTTTGTATTCCAAGACAGTACTTAATGCTAATGTCATGCTTCTTCCTCTCTAGGGGAAGGACTTTCAGAACGGACTGTGGAGATTATTCTTTCAGTCACTTTGTGTATTCTTTCAATCATTCTTCTTGGAACAGCTATTTTTGCATTTACAAGGTAAGATGTGTTTGTGCTCACATTCCTAAGATGCTGTGTGGGCGTTATTCAGTCCTGGTCCAGTCAGGGGGCAGAAACCACAACGGTGACTTGAGTGTGAAACATTTAAAAAAAAGAATTGTTAACTACTAGAAATAGTTGACTATTAAACATGGGGAAAGAGAATTTTAAGGGGTCCAGAAGTTGCAAGTACAACCAAGAGCTGCTCTCTAGGCAGAGGTGGACAACACAGGGGCCGAGAATGGAAGACGTCTCACTCCCTAGCCTGATGTGGTATCTCCCCCACCAGCACATGCAGCCTATCACCTACTAGTGGGCGAAAACGTCACAGGAGGAAGAGGCTGGAGCTGTTCTGTGGAAGCTACACATCCTTATTAGAGGGCGGGCATCCTGGAACTGGTCTATAACAGCAGCTCACTCTTGCCGCGTGGTGTGGGTGGCATGAGCTGGTGGGCGGTGCTCACCGAGAGGAAGAGCATGTACTTCAGAGGCAGCTAGAGCTCATCCAGAGGGCTGCTGGGCTTCCACAGGGAGTGATGATAACCCAGCCCTGGGAAAAACAAGGGCAGTATCTCCCTGGCCCCATTGCCTTGTAGGGTCACTCTACTGTCCTCTAGGGACAAGGCTTAAAATCCTGCCCACTGGCAAAGGAGAAATGTTTTACAGTCTAGGTCCAGTGTCAAAAAGTGGATTTATAGCCGAGAGACAACCAGGTGATAACAAAAGCTGAAGGTGCCAGGAGTTCTACATTTTTTGAATAATTAATAGCTTTGATAGATTTTATTAAAAGTATTTTAGTCAGTTCTAATTTTAAGGTTTATAAAGAAGAGATCATTTTTTACAGTAAGGGCAATGCTTTAAAGATGTCCAACTTCCTTTCTATTGTGGGCTCCTTCCTCGTGCTTACTTTACCAGCATGTCTGTACTATGGTTTCCAAGTACCCTTACCAATTCTCAGTATCAGCCTCTTAATTTTCCATATTTTTACAGAACCTCAGGGGAAATCCTTCTTTTCTTTTTACATTCTTTTAATATTGAGGTACATAAAATAAAAACCTTAAATCTTGGGGTAGAGCTTGATGAATTTTGGCACGTGAATGCACTCATGAAACCATCACCCAGTTTATGGTCATAAAATCCAGCTTGATAAAGTAGATTGCTGAGTTAAAGGGACCTTACATTTATAAAAAGTAACCAATACACTAAGTCCCTAAAGAGTTCAACGTGTTCAATTTTTATTTTATCTGAAGAACTTGTCCTCTATTCAGTGTGCCGTACATTATCTAGTTTCATCTTGATCTCCTAAGTCATCATTTTGATGGATAATTTGAAGAACCGAAGAAGATACTTTCTTATGCCACATACTACTCTCAGATTCACCCAGAAGATGCAGAAAGTCATTATTCTCAGCCCTTTTAAAGATTGGCTGTATAGGATATGGTCCTTGTTCTTGAGGGGCTCTCATTGGTCACCTTCGTACTGTGTTCTTGCTCTAATCTCTTCTGAGTCCTCATTTCCTTACAGGAGGAACTCCTATGTGGGCAGGAAATGGTCCCCTCTTAGTCCCTACAACGTCCCTACGTACTCTCAGCAGACAGGTGCATTCTCCCCAGAACAGTCCTTAGCTTTATACAGCTTTGCTCTCGCTCAGTCGGCCGGAAATGCGGTTCCTCCTCCTTCTCGGTCTGGAACACCCAAGTCAGATCCCACTTCTTTACTTCCTCTAAATGCTAATAGTTGTAATCAGTTACATAACACTTTCTAATTAATCAGTTACTGTCCTGTGTGATTTGCGTCTTTTTCTCTTATTATGCTTTCTCTATATTTAGATCTTGCTTCTGAACTAAATGGTAACGTCCTTGAAGACAAGGACCATATTTTATACTATCTTTATCATCCTCCATACATAACTCATAATAATAAATGCTTGAAATATATTAAAGATGGATAGAATAGCTAAATATTATTTTGTAATATACCATACTAAGTCCTAGAAAATAAGCCTATAAAGGGTTTAAAATGACAAGACTGATTTGATTCTCAGATTCATGCAACTTATATTTTTGGACCTGAGCTTTCTGATTATAAATAAATTAAGATATTATCTACCTCACAGTATTTTTATAAAAAGCCAACCAGGCAGTTCAAAACAGACTTTTATCTATTTTCTTGTATGTAAAAACGTTTTGTGTATGTAAAAACAACGCAGCTTTGTCTTTTAGCACTGGAGCTGATAGCAGTGAGCTTTTCTCACATGGGCATATTTCCTTTTTACAACAAACGTGTGAGACGTCTAGAGGGAGGGAAACAAGTTGTAGCATCAGTCTCATTTGCTCTGTATTTTAAATCAGTGGCTGCATCCTTAATCAACTAATTCTCATTAACATTGAAACTTCAGCAAGACGTGTTGGAAAACTATAGCAGAATAGGTCCTATGGAATTAAAACAGGAAAAAGAAGTTGAGTAGCTATGAATTTGAATACATTCAAATAAGTGATCCCAATGAAGAAATTATTGGACTAATGTAATACCTTTATTTAAAAGATAACTAAATCTAATTTCAAATGCTTTCTACAATATTCCCTTCTCGGACTTTACTACTCTTACTTTAGAATTCGACAGAAGCAGAAAGAAGGTGGCACATACTCTCCTCGGGATGCAGAAATTATTGACACTAAATTCAAGCTGGATCAACTCATCACAGTGGCAGACCTGGAGCTGAAGGACGAGGGATTAACGCGGTGAGCACAGTCCCCTTGACGAGCAGTGGTCCAGAGGGCCTGGGGCCGTGACCCTATTCTGACCTATGCTTGTTGGAAGTGTTTGTGGGGCTCCTATTTACACAGGTCATAGAGATCTTCTTTCAAAGGGTGACCTCCATCTTCTACGCACTTCTCACTGGTGTTCGGAGAATCACTTAATCTTCCTAATACTTTGAGTTCCTATGAACCCTCGACTATAATGTCCCACCCAGCCTTTAAATTTTTTCTGAGATAAATATCTTTACACATTAAACCTTTAAAATGATGTTTAATAATCACTTCATATGATAGATTTATTTTATATGAGATTTTCTGGAAATAGCTACATTTTAAATCACAAGTTCAACTTAGATTTGTAACTATTTGATGTTTCATAGCATTATTATGAAAGCCTTTCAGTTCATTTTAGTATAGAATTACATGAAAAGTCTAAATTGTATATTGATACTTCATTTTTTAAGTTGCTTAGTTTTAAAAAATAAAATATAAAGCAAAACTTAACTTCAGAAGGAAAAGTAAAAATGCCTGTACTATATATTCATCACCAGTATGTATTGGAGATAGTACAGAGCTTAATTTTTCAGAATAAGTAATTCTGAATCCTTTAAAAATCATTATAAATGATTCAGAACATTCACACACTTGAAACTTCTGCCTATTAATAAAATTCATCAAATTTCCTACTCATAGGCTGTCTTACAAGTTTGGATCTTATAAGATCCAGTAATTTTTGATGCTAATAAGCACATGACAATTGTTACAAAGTACTTGCACAGCTATGTTGAACCTTTAAAAATTATTATTAACTCTGAAAATATGGCATCAAAGGTCTTGAACTTAAAAAGAATCAATTATTTATAGTTGTCACTTTCCAAGTTGGTCTTTACCGAACAGAATGACTTTCTTTGCAAGAATATTTGCAGTTTCTAAAAACATCTAGTATTTGCTGTTGAAGGCAGTGTCATCTGAGAAGTGGGGTTCTTCCAGATACCACAAAATGAAGGTTATTGTGTTTTCATTAAATTATGAGGAAATTTGGTTGGATATGCAAACTTACTCCTTTTTATATTTAAATATTTACCTTTGTTTATATTCTAATACAGGTGGTTCCTATCTAAAATGCATAGTACCCTAAAGACTATGATAAAGATGGTAATACATTACCCAGGACATCACTTGCCACATCAGAAATGTTATATCTGAAAGATCAATAGATTTGCAGGGTAGCCTGTCAAAGCTGAACTGCATCACAGGAATAACAGAGGATGACTAGCATTAAGCGGGATCCCGGTGCTCAAAGTGTCACGCTGAACCGGAGAAGGACGTTTCTTCTTCTTCCCCTCCAGAGGCCAATTGAATTTCAGTAGCATTCTCTCAACTCCCTTTCTGCCCTCCTTTCTCAATGCCCTGTGTCCCTTCCACAGGCCTTGGGTCTCAGTCTCTTTCTTCTCTCTATCGGAAAGTGTACAAGAGATAAAACTTCAGATCTCTCAATGCAATTATTTCAGTTGTTTCAGCAATTTAGTTGAACCTGTTCACACTAAAATGTGAACTTCTAAGTGTCCAAAACTTTCAGAGCATTTTTTAAAGGAATCTTTATTAATCCACCAAAATTCTTTAGTAAGTAGATCCTTAGGAGATAGAACATAATAAAATGAAAAAAATGTCAGTACTAAGAAAGTATTCTTTATCACAGAGGTTACCATTCTAGGCAGGCTATGGTGAGGTCAGATCCCCTAAGCTCTGTGTGTTTTCACAGCTTGCCCCTTCTTCCACTTTTGAACGCAGCTGTTATCAAAAAGCTATAGATTTATTTGTTCAACAATGTCATGGCAGCTAATGGAAAAGGTGGACAAGAACTATAAATTGTCTATTATTGGGTACTTAGAATTCAGGGACTGCCTTATTTAACCTTGACTCCTCATTATTTGTTTTCCTGCTTCCATTTTTTAAATGTATATATTGCTTTATTTGTTAAAGGATATAGAAATGTCTTTGAAATATATATTGAGTAAATTTTTTTATTTATTCTTGCATGTAGAAAATTAGTATACATATTTCTTCTAGTAATAGCAAAGTTGGAAATTTAGTTTCCATGCTTTTTTCTTTCCCCTTTGTTATATCAGTATTCATGAGTATAAAACATTCTTATTTGTAATTCCAGGGGTAGTTTATAATGTTTTGCTTTATTTACTACAGAAATTTATTAAAATAACTATCAAATGGTTTGATATGAATTCTTTTCAATATAGAGACCTATCTCCAGCTTTACTATTTATTGAAGTTTTTTCATGTTGATAAAGTCACTAATGCATTAGACAATAAAACAAGAAAAAACAGAAACTAATGGGTCCCTAATTAGTTGTGTGCATATATGCATAGAGCCAGCCTTCAGGGAAGCTCTAAAGCTCTACACCTGCTTCTCTGGTGCTAGAAGGTTTAAATCTATTCAAAGCCATACCGGTCTAACGTGGGTGGAACAACAGGTGGTAGACTGGTGGTTAGATCCTGGGAGTGAAGAATCAAGGAGTCTGAATTACTTCCAAATTGATGAGTTACTTATGCCTTTTTTTGCAAAGAACTTTGATGATTTCCTTTAAGTCTACTCAGCGAGTCTGTGCTCTTTCTGCTTGAGGCTTAAGGGTGTTCTTTTCCTTCTAACCTGCCCATTGTTTTCATGCTAATTGAACTTGCAACTTTCCTCAGTGTTATATACCTCCACACATCCATAAAAGAAATGATAGAACAAAAATATATAATAGATAATGAAGTTATTTATTTTAGGCACTTACCTCATTGACAAAATGTCATTATAATGACAGGTGCTAAATCCTTTCAAGGATTTGGGATTTTATAGTTAAGAATTTCTTTATTTTTATGATTCTGCTTGTACATTTTACAGTTCATCCTACAATTTTTGTTTGTGTAAATGCTCATGATTTAATTGTATTCTACCTTGTTTCACAAAGGATTTGAAGGTTTCTTTCACATTACACTTTTCCTTCCTGAAGAACAAAACTCAAAGATTTAGTACTATCTCCTTGAAAACATTCAGGAAAATGCCAATGTAATGTTTAAATTCTTATTTGGAATGATAATTATATAATTTCATTATGCATATTTTATATTTAAGTTTAGACAACACAAGCTGATTTCTTAGGAAGAGTATTGAATATTTTGGGTTCCTGTATGCCATGTTCACCAGATTAGAAAATGACTCATAGGTTTAGTTATTTGATAAACAAATGAACAAAATGACATTTTGTGATGGCTTCTTCACAACCACTGAAATGAGAAAGATACTCAGGAGGAAATACTGGCCAAATCAGTGTAAGCACACGGGTAAAACATAGAAAAGCCTCTTTAAGATTGCTGAATGGCAGCCCCTGCGAATTTCTTTCAACTAATTTAGCTGTGACACAGATTCACCTTGCAAGAGTTCTAACACTTGCAATTAAGTAACCCAATAGAATTTGCACAAGTTAAAGACTCTATTTGGTAAAGAAAGTTTATTTTTTTACTGTCATCTTTCCACACTTAAGTCATAGAAATTTTATTTCCTATGTGACTAAATAAAAAAAATAGTAGAATAACATTAATCAATGTTACTAATATTCTTATTTGATAGACCCTTGATTTCTTTTGGGCCTCAAGTTTTTCCCCAAAATTTTTACGTCATTCCAAACTAATTATCTGCCTGTTTTAGTTGAGTGAATGTAATGGTGTATTATTTTAAGACACAAGGCCCAATCCAGTAATCATGAATGGAATTCAAATTTTCAACAAAATGAAACAAACAATTGAATTGCGATTTTAAGAGTATCTTTTTTCCTCCAACAACTTTAGAGATTTGCCTGTTAAATTTGTCTTTAGGAAATTTACCATTTAAAAAAATCCTATGAATTTGCTTTGTAAACTGTAAATCAGAATATATTTGATGTCGTCATTGTTATTTATAAACTTTATATTAAAAATTACCCCAATTTGCTTTCACGCACAGGGTTTTATTAACATGATAATTAGTACTCTTTATGAGTAATTACTATGTGTTAAATTCTGTGTATAATGATCTCACTTAAATCTTTCAATCCTTCATGGTAGGTACTCTTATCCCCATTTTAGAAGTGAAAAACCAAAGATGCTTAGAGAATTTAAGTAACTGTCCAAAGTCATACATGTAGTTAATAGAGCAGCCGCAATGCTAGCCCAGGTCTGGCTGATGCTGAGGAACCATGTAAACCTTGTGTGTGTGTATTTAACTCTTGAGCATACTAGACGAGATCAATATAAACCCTCTTAAATAGACAAGGGCTGGGGGTATCCTTCAGGCAGCATTTTCTATGCAGAGAGTGATTCTAAGGAAATAACCGCTTCTTTGGAATTACTTGTTTTCTACTAATATGCGGCAAAAGAATTATGATATTTTAATGGAGATTCAAACTTTCAGAAACTGAAGTTCTTTAGTAGTACAATTCTCATTGTAGTTTCAGTAAGAATACATATTTGACCTATATGTGATACTATGTAAAATTGTTAGCATTTTAATTGCCATAAGTTCTTGACAGATTCTGGTCATGAATTTTACTTCTGTCTTAAACCATTTTATAAGCAATAGAAAAAAATATGTGAATGCAAGACAAGAAATGCTCTGAAGTAGAATGAAGCTTAAGACATTAATAAATAATGAATCTTTACTTCCAGATACTCTTCATTTTTCTTTAGACGCAAGGAGATTTTTGTCATCCAGTAAGTTACTGTGGTATGGTGGAAAGATCTGCTGTGATTGTTTAATCTTACCAGGTGGTGTGCTCTATATTTTTAATTGCAGGATATTGAGTGTTTTGTTGCTATTTTTTCCAAAGCCAAAGAAAAAAGAAATGACAAAAACCTGCGGTTTCTACTTACATATGTTCTCTTTAATATTGCATGTTACTGTTACAGTAAAGTTATTCTTATCAAAATGCACATTGACTCATAATGTGCATGTCCCGAGAATGTGCTGTGTTCTCATGTTGTGTTAGCTTTCACCTAGATTTCTTCACATGCTTCTTGTCTTATTATTACTGTGATGCAAGAGCTGAGTTCTCCATCTGACAGATGGAGTCTGGGTTCACACTTCACATAAGCTCATATCAAGAACTGCAGGTGCTAATATGTAGGAGCAAAATGATGATGTTTCCCATTCTCTGACTCTGGAGTATACATAGAGCAGCACATTTCGTGGAATCTGCACTTCTGCCCTGACCAACAGGTAGCCAACTGTGCATGCTTTCGGGCACTCACTTCTGCTCAGAAATGCCATTTGTATTCTATCACGAAAATTGCTTTATACATTCTGAGGGTAGCATAGTGAAATGTCAGCATTAGCAGGGACCCCAGCAACTGATTGAACACCCCAGAACTAGTCAGTTTCTTCATGGAAAGGATATGAATAGAGACAGAGAATGAAAATGCATTGACCTTAGAATCTCATATCTGCTACAGAAGAGTCAGTCTCCATGGGCCCCAAAGCTGGATGGGACCAAGGCTCCTGACATTCTCACTGATGGTGAAATAGTACTCAGCATCCCTAAAACGGAGTAAACCAGGACTATTTCTATGCTAATAACATTTAGAAATTTGGGATCATAGGTAGCCTTGTTTTGCTTCATATTAACTAATTGCCAAGTTCCCAGTAACAGAATTAAAATAGTTTTATGAAAATATGTTTTCTTCAAAGGACCTGCTTGATCAGATTCAAACATTTGTCAAAGGAAGACATTAAAGGTTTAAGGGATCACATCACACATAAAACATCCATTCCCAACCAGCACTCAAAGCTGACCTCTCGGCGTTCCAGACTTACAAGTGGTCTGGTTGAGCAACTCTGCCGAATGCCTTTCTTTGTCATTATTAGGCGGAATCCTTTTACGGTCTTTCTGCTTTATGCCATTAGTACCTCAGAGAAAAATGCTTCCATTTGTATGACACTCTCATTGTCTCTCCTCTATCACTGACTGTTCTCTCCTAGAATCAGTAGAGAGTCTTGCTCAGTCGGAGCTCTTCCTTTGGTAGAGCTAAAACTTAATAGTTTGGACTAATCAGAACCTTTATAGAACATCTCTGCACAAGTCACGTTAATCAAAGCAGACGGTCTTCTTCCAAATCTGGTCCTCTGAGCTTGCCTTCTAAGCCCTACCAGGGGCGCCACAGTGCCTTCCTGCCTTGCCAGCTAGGAGTTCCAGCTGTTGGATTTCTTTTTTCCGTGGCGTTATGTCATCTGCCCCTCTTCATGAAGTCCGCACTGAGAGCCTGTGCCCACCTCTTCACACAGCTGTCAGCAGCCACTTCATCCTCTCTCTCTGCTGATTCTGCTCTGTTGCCCCTAAGGCAGCTAAGCATGTGCCCACGGTTTCAATTTAGAATACGTTGTTGACAAAATAAAACATCTGTCAAGAAGTTGTTTTTGAATGTGCTAATGTGGTGAGGCTTAGTCATAAGGAAAATTTAACTCCTGCCGTCCTGGGCGTCTTAGCGCCTTGGCATCGGCAAGGAAATTGCTTCCCCTCACCTATCTGTAAGTTCATTTCACTTGTGTGAGTAGAAGCTACATCAGGTGGGCATCCATCAAGTGCCAGGCACTGTTCTAGGCGCTGGAAATACTGTGATGAGAAAGGAAGGGATGTTGTCTCCAGAGAGCTGCCCTTCAAATAGCTAAGCTCCTTTCAAACCTGTTTGTTTTCACAGATAAGGGAGGCATTCAGATAAAGTACTTAGATATCACTTACTAATTGTTTTTCTAATTAAATAAGAAAAATATTACATTACTCACTTACTCAGGTGGTTTGTTTACCTTAGAGAGTGAAGTTTCAGAGGCAACTGTACAGTCCAGCCAGTGGTTAGGATTTAACTTCCAACTTTTTTCTGTTCTATTGAGAAATACATGGCATAACATCACCTTATAAGATTAAGGCACACACATGATGGTTTGATTTGCATATATCGTGAAATAATTACCACAGTAGTTCTGTTAATTACAATCCTCATAAAGATACAATGAAAAGAAAAGAAATGAAAAGGAGAAGAAAGAAATGTTCCCCCTGTGATAAGAACTCTAAGAAATTACTCCCTTAATGACTTCGTATACCATACAGCAGGATAAGCTATGTCAGCATGCTGCACATTACATCCCAGCACTTAATTATCTTGTACCTGGAAGTTTGTACCTTTTGACCATTTTCCTCCAATTCCCCCTTCCCACATACTCTGCGTCTGGTAACCACAAGTCTGATCTCTTTTTAAAAGAGTTTGATTTTTTTAATTAGATTCTACACATAAGAGAGATCATATAGTATCCATCTTTTCTATCTGACATATTTCACTTAAAATAATGCTGTCATGGTCCATCCATGTTGTCACAAATGGTAGGATTCACTCATTTTTTATGGATGAATAATATTCCATTGTATATACATAACAGAACTTATTTATCCATCCAACCACCAGTAGGCACTTAGGCTATTTCCATGTCTTGCCAATTGTGAATAAAGCTGCTATGAACATGGGCTGCATATTTCTTTTTGAGTTACTGTTTTCACTTTCTTTGGATATATTCCCTGAAGTAGAATTGATAGGTCATATGGTAGCTCAATTTTTAATTTTTTGAGGACTGGTTAGGATAATATTTTTTGTTTATGTTGAGGGCCACAGGAAAGTTATTGGTGATTTGATACAAGAATGAAGAAGGATCAGAAAGGATGGGATATGATTTTAAGGCCTAGAACAAACAAAAACCATAGGAAAGAACAAAAATTAAGATACCTTTGAAAGCATTACAGTAAATGCTTTGGATAAGTAATGGAATCATTGTAGAAGTAGATGTAAATGTTGGAGTAATTAATGAATTGATGAAATACATAAACTTAAAGCTCACCCTGAATAGTTTACAAAGTTTGGGAAGATTAATATGTTTATCAGAGAGATAAATTCTTCACAAATTTGTATTTGAATATGAAATTTGCATTAGGGTGACAAACACATTTTTATATAAAAGCAATAGAATTTGAGGTTCTTTTCTTTTTAACATAATTTAACTGGTTAAGTAGAAAACACAGTTTCTCAATTTGTCCCATGCTGCTGGTAATGCTGGTTTAAGCTGCTCTTCTAAAGGCTGTCATCTATGGTTCTCTATTTGGAAGATATTTTAATTCCCTATTGATTTCAACTAATTGACCTTTAGGGAAAGCTGAGTCTGTGTGACAATATGGTCTTCAATCACCACTGCCAACATAAATAAATGGTTCCTCTCTGGATCTATCAAGAGTAATCTGAGTGGAATTGAAGTTTTTGATAGACTTTTAAAAAACGAGGCCAAGGAATGAAATAATACCCTTTTCAACAAAAAGGGCATAGGATTTAAGGCAGCCAAGATTCATGTAATAAAAAGTGTTTACCCCTTTATATTGGAAAATGGTCAGTTATCTTACTGAAACCTGGACAACTGCCAAATTGATTTATATATGAATGAACTGAATATGATTTGATGGTACCCTTCACTATCCTGACTAAAGTAAGAGTGTCATACCTGTCTAAAATGCTTCCCAAGTAATCAGTTTTTAAAAAGCTTTTAAAAATGTTTTCAAAAAGTTTTCTATCTGAGTCTCTTTGACTGTCTCCACAGATTTAGAAACAGCGCTCCTTCTGAAATAACAGTGTTGACTTTCATGAACGATAATTTTTGTAAAGTCTTTTTTTATGTTTATATAACCAAAAATTTTTCCTTAAAGGAATTTAATTTCCTCATCAATAATAAGTAAATACATTTTCTTCATGTTATGCCCCAACTTCTGTTCTAATTCCCTGCATGAATTGTCCAAATTAATATTTTTTAAGAGAAAAATAAAATTTAGAATGCAGCCAATACTTAAGGGAAAAATATACCCATGCAATATGAGGCTCAGAATTAAAGCAGTGATGTTGATACCACAGACAACAACAAGAAAAAGGCCCAATTATTATTTGAAACAATCAGGTAACTTAAACTGTAACATCTTCACAATTTAAGCTATCCAGACCACATTTCAATTTCAGTTCACACATAATTGTGATGTAAGCAAAGACTAGAAAGTTACATAAAAATTAGACTGTTAGAGGCTCTATTTCTCACATATGTAAATACAAATGTGAAGAACAGATTATATAAAGTGATGGAGTTGTAGATAAAGAGAATGATATAAAAGAAAATAAAACCAAATAAATCTTGTTTTTTTGAAGCCTATTTTTTTATTACTTGAATACACAAAATGATCTTATTGTTCATATATCTAATTTTCCAAGAACTATCTCGTACCTGTTAACTTCTAATGTTAGGGGTTCTGATATATCTTTGTTTAGACTGGTATGTTGTTTATTGGTGCATCTATTCATCATACTTATGTCAAGCTTGGTGTAAGGCCTCCTGAGAATTCTCAGTTGCTTAATATTTGAGTGGATAATTCATTCAATTCTGACATTATCTAATAAATAATCAGAGTACCTATATTTAGCTTGCTGTGTATCTTGCTTTGAATTCATCACAACCGTATTTACTTATTGATTTACTCATTGATTTAAAATGACATACTCATTGTCAACAATGTTATGAGGGACTTGTAATAAGCAAAGTGTTAATCCTGTCCCTGCCTTCAAATAAACAAGAATCTTAATGCATGTATCCTTAATACATGTACTTATAAAGCCACAATACAAGGTGGAAGGTAAATTGTGCATATAAATTTGGTTTCATAGTAAGAAGAAATTATTTTCTCTGTAATAGAACTGGGTATGGTCCATGGAATAGTTAACATTTGAATCAGTTATTAAGGAATCAGTAGAATCCTGGAGTGGTACGAACAGAAGAAGTGGTACTAAGAATATCTGGAGGGCAAATGGTATGTGAAGGGTAGTTGTAAGGAATGATGTAAAAAAAAAAAAGCAGATGTGATTAGAAATGATTTTGCATGATAATATGAAAACTGAATTATTACAGTTCTTATAGTATTACAGATTTATTTTGAATCTTGAATTGAGAACTAGAAAACTAGATGTGGATTTCAAGTCTAGAAATTTATGGCCACTCTTTATGCCAGGGCCCTGATTAGAAAGAATAAGAAACCTTGATCTTAATTTAACACAACCTAGTCCACCCAGTTTTGAGTAAAATTAAGATAGGAACTTCTATTAGAAACAAAAAAAAAAAAAATGGCTTTTATATATCAGTATCAATTGTAGAAGAGATTAATAGGAAGAGATTGAGTTTTACAAAATAAACTAAAAATAGCAATTATAATACTAATGATAGTAACTAATATTTATGTATAGCCTACAAAGCCACAGTCATTTCCAAACATTTTACATATATGGACTTGATTTACATATGGTTGCATGATATTTTCTAAATTAGGAACTGAGGCACAGAAAGATTAAGTAACTTGCTCAAAATAATGTAGCTGGTAATTGTTGAAGCAGGTATTTGAAGCCAATAAGGGCAGGAAAGAATTCACACATTGTCTATCCAAACCCAGTGGCTGTCTAATTAATGGTTTAAAATTAACATCTTTAAGGAGACCTTTCCAATACAAAATAAAACAAGAATACTAAAGAAAAAACAACTTTCTTTAGACCCTTTCACTGAAAAGAAATTGACTAAAAAAACGATATATTATTAAATTAGTTATAATTTCTGAGAGTAGACCTCATTAAGGAAAAAAGCAAGGATGTGAATAATAATGTGGTGTTTTAGCTATTTCTTGCCCATTTATATTTTGATGATTATTCATGTTTAATGTCTCTTGGGAATTTCATAAATGTGTCCTGATTCCTCAAATGACTTATTGATGGCTGCCCAGAAACTAGCTCTATTTTAGATTCTAGATAGCCCAGTGAAATATTTAGCTAGTACCACCTCAAATTATACTGGATCCTCCAAGAAAAGAGACTCTTCCTGCTTTCGGATGGCAGTCTGACTGTCCTTAAATAGATGGGCCATCAGCCTGTCATTAAATCAGATACGGTGTATTTGAATGTCACCAATCACAAACCGAACAATGTTCCCTGTTATTATAAAAGTGACCTCCATGCAATTCAAGAATCTCCATTTCTGTTTGGGAGCAGGGAAACTGATCTTGCTAACTCAAGAATCTCATTCATTTCTACCTTAAGCTTAGTTCATTAGGATTTGTCCAACTTAACGCCCTTTCCTTCCCTATTTCTGATGAACATCCTGGCATAAGAACATTGGAGCCTTAGGCATGTTAGGAGGTTTGCGTGGTGTGGCGCTAGCCCATGGTTGTGTTTTTTCTTGCTGGTCTTCCCTGAGGACTAATTATTTCCAAGAGGTATTGATGTTGCCTCCGTCCCCACTTCACCTGTTGGCTGTGTCAGAAGTGTTTCCAGGTCCTCAGTTCGGGCAGTCTTCCTGTCCCAAAACCAAGGATTCTTCTGATTGAATAACTCATTCATCCATCTTCATATCCATATTCATCTAGCTAGAGACAGGATTTCTCTTTTACCTTGTTAGGATCACTCAAGGTACGGTGGGACGCCCACACACTCCTCCACCAAGACTTTGCTCCATTTTATCACTGTGATACGACATTTATGGGATGCTCTGCAAAGTGACACCCCGAGAAGCTGAGAGATAGCTCCTTCTGCTTTGGGATAATTACATCATGAACCAAGAATTCTACCACTCTTCTTAGTAATACTTGCTCCAGCATCCCCATATTTTTCACCAATTCCTGCACTGTAACAAAATATATTCTTTTTGACTACATTTTCTTCATTGAACGCGTTGCTTTGTGACCATTTACAGTGTTCATAATGCCATATTTTTCAATCTAATTCTTTAATTTTTTCTCTCATTTTTCCTTTACCTTGAAAACCACATCCA